GGGGGGGGGAGAAGAGAGCGGGGGCCTGATGCACCGGGAGGGGGTCACGGGGGGCGGCCCCGTTTCCCGGAGGCGGGTCGGAACCCCCATCCCTGGACCCAAACATCCCCCCACGGCCACCACAGCCGACCCGGGACTCCCAGACGCCAACGCCTCCCGGTTAATTCGGGAGGGGGCCCGGCCATCCCCACACCGGAGCCCCCCCCCCGCTCCTTCCCCACCGGGACCCGTGCGTCCGGACACGCTCCCCCCCTCCCGTCCGCCCCGAAGCCCCCCCATGGCGGTCAGCACCCCCTCGGGCTGCCCTGACCTCCTCCAACCGGCAGCGGCCGCAGGAGCCGCCATCGCCACATGACGGGGCCCCGCCACCGCCACCGCCACCGCCGGAAGTGGCCCTTAGGGCGCCGCCATGGGGTCCCACCGCGGGGCCGTCCGGGGGGAGACACTTCCGGGAACTGCGGTCCGTCCCGGAGGCGCAACCCCCCGGAAATGCGGAGGGGAACCTTAGTTCCGGGTAGGCCCGGTACCGTGGGGGACACCCCACCATGTTCCTCCACGATGTTCCTCCACCATGTCCGTCCACTATGTCCCTCCACCGTGTCCCCACTCCGCCTCCGTGTCCCATCAAGGCTCCCAGGGCCGCCTTAATCACAGAATCACGGAATTGTCGGAGTTGGAAGGGACTTCTAGAGACCACCCAATCCAACTCCCCGGCCAAAGCAGGGTTGCCCAGAGGACATCACTCAGGAGCATCCAGGCGGGGCTTGAAGGTCTCCAGAGAAGGGGACTCCACACCCTCCCTGGGCAGCCTGTTCCAGGGCTCTGCCACCCTCACCCCAAAGAAGTTCTTCCTCATTTTTGAGTGGAACTTCCCATGTTCCAGCTTGTGCCCGTTGCCCCTCATCCTGTCACTGGGAACCACTGAAAAGAGTCCAGCTCCATCCTCCTTCAACCCACCCTTTAGATCCTTGTCAGCATTAATAAGGTCTCCCCTCAGCCTTCTCTTCTCCAGGCTCAAGAGCCCCAGCTCTTTGAGCCTTTCCTCATCAGGGAGATGCTCAAATCCCTCCATCATCTTTGTTGCCCTACGCTGGACTCTCTCCAGTAGTTCCCCGTCTCTCTTGAACTGGGGAGCCCAGAACTGGATGCAGGATTCCAGTTGTGGCCTCACCAGAGCAGAGCAGAGGGGCAGAATGACCTCCCTCCACCTCCTGGCCACACTCTTCCCTATGCAGCCCAGGGTTCCATTGGCCATCTTGGCCACAAGGACACATTGCTGGCTCATGGAGATCCTGCCATCCACCAGGACTCTCACATCCTTCTCCTCAGTAGTACTTCCCAGAAGATCCACCTCTATTGGTGCCTGGGGTTCTTCCTCCCCAGGTGCAGGACCTTACACTTGTCCTTGTTGAACTTCATGAGGTTCTTCTCTGCCCAGCTCTCCAGCCTGTCCAGGTCACGCTGGATGGCAGCACAGCCCTCTGGAGTGTCGGCCAGCCCTCCCAGTTTGGTGTCATCAAAGGGAATGGAAGGGCTCAGGGCTCCAGCATGGGGGCAAGGAGTTCTCAGAATTGCAGCCATCAAAGGAGAGAGAGAGAGAGAACTCCTCAGCAAAATTCTTAATTTATATTGAATTTATATTGAATGTTCCTGGTATGAAATAAGCCCATAGGCTACTCTCTTCCACCTAAAGCGACTCATTGATCCTGGGAGGGCTTTGGCAGGGGAGTTGGACTGGGTGGTCTCTAGAGGTCCCTTCCAACACTGACAATTCCATGATTCCATGATTCCTCCTGAAGCCGCAGCACTCGCAGGGTCCCACATGGGCTGTCCCTGCTGGGAGGGACCAGCTTCCTGGGATGGAAGGGGCTGGGGACAGTTGTGGTGTATTTTATATCGATATCGGGATCAATACTCCTTCTTTAGCCTTATTAATATTAATTATCCCCTCTTATTCTATTAGATCCTGTTACCGCAAACTGGCAGATAAAACTTTTTAAGACTCAATTTAAATTTTAGAAAGCAGGCATTCTTTATCGAGGCACCGGATTCCTCCTGTTGTGCACACCGAATACCGTTGTCAAATTAAATTCATACACAACAGGTCTACATAGTCAATATAATTCCAAGAAAACATTAACATATTCATTACATTTCTGAGAATTCATTTACATATTATAATACACTTTTGGGCATGCGTCGTTGTGCCTTCTGGTGGTCTTCATTACGAGTGAGGGTTGTTTCTTCCTCAATCTTCATCTTCTCCACCTCTCCTTTGGCTCACTTTTCATCTTGGCAAAACATTCTAACTGCTTAATTGCTCATTAAAGCTAACGATCTCCCTGCTACCACCTGTTTGTCAGACAATGTCCGTATTTATTGCATCCCTGCCTTAGGTCACCATGTTCTCAGGGCCACAGACTTTCTTATCTTACTATGTTCTTGAAATCATTTGGGGTGGTTGCTAAAATAGCTACATTTCTTCTCTAAAAGAAGATTCTCTGCAGTTTAACCATTTATAAACTACATAAAATCTTCCTTAGGTATCAACCTGTTTATATTTCAACCCTTGGGTTCCCTTCCTTTTTTCCCAGTTCCCCTTCCCGGCTGGAGAGGGATCACGGGGCGAGAGAATAATTACCTAAGTGACAATAGATCATTGTGGGTCCCTCAAAAATAAATCTCCTCCTAGAGAAAAGGAGGCTGAGGGGAAACATTGCTCTCTCCAACTCCCTGAAAGGAGGGTGTAGCCAGGGGGGGTCGGTCTCTTCTCCCAAGGAACAGGCGATGGGACAAGAGGAAACACCCTCAAGTTGTGGCAGGGGAGGTTCAGGTTGGATATCAGGAAAATTTTTTACACGGAAAAGGTTATCAGGCATTGGAATGGGCTGCCCAGGGAAGTGATGGAGGCACCATCCCTGGAGGTATTTAAAAGACGGGTTGACATGGTGCTGGGGGACATGGTTTAGTGATGTTTTTTTGTCCGTTAGGTTGATGGTTGGACTAGATGATCTTGAAGGTCCCTTCCAACCTAGATGATTCTATGATTCTATGAAAATGCAACAAACACACACACGCAGAGGACTGTGCTGATAATGGTTCTTTATTGCCTTCATGGAGGGTCCGGTGGTCCCTTGGTGCCATCAGTAGGTGCTGAAGACAGCCTGGATGTGCTCCCCGTCCCTTGGTTTGTAGGTGCCAACCCCTGCCATGGAGGGATAGGGGTGAGACCATACCCCACAACCCCCCCGTAGCCCCCCATCCCATGCTGCCCACCTTCCTGCAGGGCGTCCTCCCCGCTGAGGAACTGCCAGTAGGTTCTGTCCTCTGGGTTGGCCGCCAGCCCGTGGATGGAGACCACCATGGGGCCCCAGGATGTCTGCTCCGTCTGGAAGCTGTTGGGGAGACGGGTGGGCTCGAGGATCGGTGCTGGTGGGGGGAAGCCATCAGCCTCCCCTCTACATCCCCCGGCCCTGGTTCTCACCTAAAGACCTGGGGTTCCTTCTCCTCGGCTGCCTGCAGCACCTTGAGCAACGTGGAGCCCTCCGGGACCCACACGGAGATGGATTTGCTGAAGTGCTTGCCCTGCAGCTTGTTGATGATGGAGTAGTGCACCTCGATGAGGGCTGGTGGGAGGGGAGAGGAGCAAGGTGGGCACCCAACGCAACGCCACAGGGGCACCGGGCACGAGCGTCACAGAAACACAGAATCACAGAATACTATGGGGTTGGAAGGGACCTCTGGAGATCAGCTCTTCCAACCCCCTGCCAGAGCAGGGCCACCCAGAGCAGGTCCCACAGGAACGTGTCCAGGAGGATTTTGAATGTCTCCGGAGAAGGAGACCCCACCACCTCTCTGGGCAGCCTCTGCCAGGGCTCTGCCACCCTCACAGTAAAGAAGTTCCTCCTCACGTTTAGGTGGAACTTCTTATGGTCCAGTTTGTGCCCATTTCCTCTTGTCCTGTCCCTGGGCACCACTGGAAAAAGCCTGGCCCCATCCTCCTGACACCCACCCTTTCAGTATTTATAGGTGTTGATCAGATCCCCCCTCAGTCTTCTCTTCTCCAGACTAAAAAGCCCCAAGTCCCTCAGCCTTTCCTCATCAGAGATATGCTCCAGGCCCCTCATCATCTTTGTAGCCCTCTGCTGGCCCCTCTCCAGCAGTTCCCTGTCCTTCTGGAACTGGGGAGCCCAGAACTGGTCCCAGTGCTCCAGCTGGGGCCTCCCCAGGGCAGAGCAGAGGGGCAGG